GGGGGGCGGGGGGGCGAGCCCGGCTGTGGCCCTGCTCTCCCCGGCGGCTGGAGCGCCGCGCCGCCCCCCTCCAGGTGCCGCCCCAAGCACCAGCTTGGGTGCCTGGAGCCGGCCCTGCCTGTGTGCCATTTAAATGCTCAAGAGTGGAGCATAGGCCTTGTCCTAGCTTCTGCATAGGGGGGAATTTTATCTTCCATGAGAACTCTGTTCTATCTTTCATTAGCTCATGCAAGTTGCATGGTGCAGTCATATATTTAAAGTACACAAAGAGCAGAACATTCAGCATTAGGAAACTCCAGGCCTAGCACCATTGCTATATCAAGACAGAACAGGACAACCTATTCGCTGCTTATGACATAACACAGATTTTCCAGGCCATGAATAGCTTGTCTGCTGTAGCCTCTTTCCCCCTTCATTTGGGTAACTTTCTCCAAGTCCAGCCTGCAAGAGTACCCTGCACAATCAGCCTGAACTCTGTGCCTTTCCCATAGTATATTCCACTAAACAAAAAGCAAAGCTGAAAGCAGAAGCTTCTCTTCACACTGCAATATCTATGCCAACTAACCACCGTCTAGGTCAGTTAAAAATCTTAACTACCTTCATCTCGACTATGCTGATTAAGTGGCTTTAACTTGTCCTCAGTTTCTTGCATGTAATCGTAGGATCAACCTAATTCTTTGAGTTCACGTTCCCCTCTCACAAAGACAGAAAGGAGGTCAAGGCAAATCTTAATGCTAATCTGGGGCTGGGACCATCTCTGTGCTCACAGTCCCCCTGCTGGAGGAAAACTAACTTTATTTAACAAGACACATCTGCCTTTCCTCAATGAGTGAACTGCCATTTCACACACAAAAAAAGCCTCAGCTGTCACAGCAACCCTCGTACTTCACTATTTATTTATACGCAGCAACCAAGGTTGGGGAATGACAGACAAGCAGCACTCAATGCACTGAGAACTGCTGGACTGAAAGGTCATTCACAATCTCACCCAAGGATCTACTTTCACCTCCACTTGATGAAAGAACCCAAGTGCAGGGTCTCAGGGGAAGGACAGTGGGATGAGGCCTTTCCTTTGCTAAGCACATGCCAAAGTGGGTAGAAAACCCACAAGCTACTAACATCTAATGACCAACTGTTCAGCCAGACCTATATAGAGCTCTGTAGCTCAAAAGCTTGTTTCTTTCACCAACAGAAGTTGGTCCAATAAAGATATTACATCACCCACCTTGTTCAGTGGTCTGTGATGGAAGCTAGTTTGGTTTTTCAAGCTAAGGAAGGGAAAGTGCCTTAAATATTTTGTGCATTTTGTAAATGTGTTCTAAAAGTTACCCTATAAAATGCAAGCCAAATGGAAGAGCCTTCTGGAACTTAACAGGGTTGAAGACAGTGTGATTCTTCAAACCTATGAAATTTAATAGAGAACTTTCTATAGGCTAGTTAAAAAAACCCTCGACAGGCTGTAGGTCATTAAATTTTATAGGTTTGCAGAATCACACTGACTCATCCCTGTTAGGTTCTAGAGGCCTTTTCCACCAGGGTAAGAAATAAAACAAGTTTTGAAAACGTGCACAATCTATTCAAACACACTTACCAGTGCCCCCAGCCCGAGGCTTTATCCCAGTCACATAGGGATGGAAGCTGTGACAGGCAGGCTGCTTTTTGAGGCAAGTCTACTTGACACTGGCCTAGAGGCTTTGGGGACATTATTTTCAAGTGTGGGTGCCTGAAGAACCCTCTCCTACAGAAGCCAGTGGGAATTGCTGGTGCTCAGCATCTCTGAAAATCAGGCCACTTTCACTCAGATGCCTGCCTTCAGACACCTGAATCTGAAAGCACTTGCTGAAGGGTGTGACTCTCACTGGGATTTCACAGTGCTAAGATATTATGGGAGGCCATAGAAGCACAGGAGATATGTAGACCAGACCTTGACTCTCCTGTCTCACACCAGTTACATGCATAATGTTAATCAAATAGCAGCTCTAAAAGGCACCAACATTGGAGCAATTAGGACAAGTTTAGGTTTTCCAGTTACTTCAGGTCCTCTGCACCTCCCCCCACTCCATTGCTTGCATGGTGGCTAATTCCTTAGCACTTCCTCTGCTAATCACAGCCAGGCCCACCTATTAAAGAACCAGGACAAAACTTGGGACAGATGGAAGGAAAGTCTAGAACTCTCAGAAGTCCAATTCTAGATCTAACTTCGCTCACTGGAAAAATGCCGTTTTGGTGACCTGCTGTGGGCAGCAGCATGTAGCAGGGGAAGACAAAGTGGGTGCAGATGGCATTAGGCAGGGGATTTAAACAGAGTAACAAATAAATAAAGTTGCCCAGTGTTGGCAAACCCTGATTCCTGCTCTGCCCAAGCAGGACATGTCCTAGCCTCACACAGGTGAGGGGGCTGCTAAAATCAGGCATTCTCCTAGCACTAGTAATGTGAGGGAAGCTGTATTGGGAGAGGAACTTGAGGAAGGCCAGGCTACCAGGCAATCAGAGAAGATGATGCAGAGAGAAGGGCAGGCATTCCGTAACCTGGGCTCATGAGGCTCACATAGAAGAGGGAAGAGCTGAAAAAACAAGGGCAAGAAACTGTAGGCAGCACTGTACTCCTGCCCAGGGTAGGTTTAGGCAGGACAGGTATTTTGGGGACAGCTCTTTTAAGCAGTATGTACAGAGTTGGCTTTTCTGAACTAAGACAGAGATGTTTCACTACCCCCTGGCCCTGCCAGGCACCCTGCTCCTCTTCGCCCTCAAGAATCCCTGCCATTTACATGTTTCTCGAACAGCCACCCAGCTGCTTCCCCTTCACCTGCAGCCATCACTAACAAAGAAAATGGCCTTCTCACCTCCCTGAAGACTGGGTGGACAAGCGTGGAGAGACACTGTGATCGGGGCTGCCGCTTGATGGGCTCAGCAGACTGGAAAGCAAAACACGGAGAGATGATGAATACATGCAGCAGACATACTCATGGAAGGGTGCACCCCAGCCCACAAAGGTGCTTCAATCTGCCACTTCCCCTGTGTCTGAAACACATCTCCTATCAGAGATCAACATTAGCTACTCTTCTATACAACTGGAGGAATGAAACTGGTTGGGTAGAAAGGCTAGTGCTGACTCCTACTGGGGTGACTCCTACTCCCATCCTCAGAGAATGAGCATTAACTGTCAGCATCCTGGGGGCATGGAAGACGCAGCCCTATAATGCTGCCCACACCATGCTCAGGTGCCAGGCTGGAGGCAATATTAGAAAGTTAAGGACAGAGAATGTCATACGAGTGCACTGGAAAGGCAGCTTTCCCTGCTCCTAGGCTCCACTCATTTCCTGGTCACCCTGTTTTTTGATGACAAGGTCAGCAGACTGACCTTTTGAGAGCCATGGAGAGCTATTCCTTTGTGCAGTTTAAGGGAACTAGGTCGAATAGTTGGTGGGAACGTCCAGATTGGACCCTGGTCTCCATCTTCTGTATCTCCATCACTAGAAACAGAAGGAGGAGTTAGACATACAGCCTGCATAATATATCACACACACAGGACATGAACCTTTCCATTTCTGAAGCCCTTATGCTCCCAGATAATGCATTACAGCCAGCCATAATTACCCTTTCACCCGAGGGCTCTGGGCATTTTGCGAGGGGGCAGAACAACAGCTGCCACTCTAGGTGCACTGGGGAAATTTAATTCAAGTCAGTCTAGAAAATCTGATTTGATCCAAACTGAAACACCTTCAGATTATCAGATTCTCTGGCCCATACAGCTCACTGCATAGAGCCAGGCTAACTACCATTTCAATTATTTTAATTCCCAGATCCCTGCATGAACCAAAGACATAAATCTGGCCTGACAGACCTATGGTAAAGATTCAAGAGTAACTAGCAATTCTAGATGCTCAGTTTGAGGCACTAATAGGGTTTGATTTTCATTAAGTTCTAACCACCCAATTCAGAAGAGTCAGGCCCCTTTAAAGGATCTGAAATTGGCCATCCCAAAAAATAAAAATCCACTTGTCACTGTTAAGCATCTTGACCTCCTTATACCAGTTTGGCTACAGGTAGCAGGACCACATCCAGCTACTGCAATATGGTCTCAGAGCTACATACTCTGAACATAAGAACGGCCATACTGGATCAGACCAAAGGTCCATCTAGCCCAGTATCCTGTCTTCCGACAGTTGGCAATGCCAGATGCCCCAGAGGGAATGGGCAGAAAAGGTAATCATCAAGTGATCCATGCCCTGTCACCCATTCCCAACTTCTGGCAAACAGAGGCTAGGGACACCAGCCCTGCCCATCCTGGCTAGTAGCCACTGGTGGACCTATCCTCCATGAAGGCTCCTCTGAAGCCAGGTAATGTATTTAGCTGAATGCCTGCTAGAGATAAGGTAGAAGACACTTCAAGGAATGCTCTATGGGCTAGGTGGCACAGTAGGTTAACCCACTAGCCTTACACATTTTGGGACCTGGATCCAAGTCCTATAGTACTTAGCTCATAAAACATTTCTTGTCTCCAGCCAATACTGTTGGCTCCTCACCTACATTGATCCAAAACTGAGCAAAGGCTCCACAGTAGCATATGAGGAGGGACCAAATGCAAAGAAAACAGCAATACTATTTACTCAGACATCTATACTTTGCTCCCCTAACCAGGGCTTGAACATCTATCAGACGTTCACTACCCAGAAGAAGATGGGGAACAGTCACACCAACCTGGCTCATGGACCCTCCCTCTCTCTTCCCAACTTAATTGGGACTCTGTACTCTGAAGTGGTAGTGAATAGGATTTGGGAGGATAGGCCACAGCAGGGTATGGAGACAAGCACCAAGGCAGGTGGCATACGCACATGTCAGAATCACCAGAGCTGGAGTCCTCTCCATGGCCCTCTGACTTCCAGCGCTTGAATCGGTCAATCAGCTCCATGAGGAATGAGGTTTTCTTGGTATAGCGTGTGATGAACTTGTGCTTTAGCAACTCTTTAGCAGTTGGCCTCTGTGGCAAATCAGGAAACAGAGAGTGTGCTAAACCTAGCAGTAGCCAAGATCTGCAAGAGCCATGACTAACACCCAAAAGCTTTGTCTTATTTCTGCCATGCCTGCTTTTTCATTTTGCAATCTGCTGCTAATTTCTCTCCAAGAGCGTAGCACTAACGCCTTTCTGCTGAGGATTTCTAGGCACCTTTGGACTCTGGAGTTCTATGTCCCAGACATTCCATTCTATCCGCAGCGAGAGGAAGAAAATGATACTTACAAATCTAGGGTCCTTGTTGAGACAGGCTTCTACAAATTCTTTGAAGGGCTTGCTGTGATGTCCCTCCAATGTTGGAGGGTTGTTTTTGGGGATCAGAAAAAGCACCCTCATAGGATGCAGGTCAGAATTCGGGGGCTCTCCCTTTGCAAGTTCAATGGCTGTGATTCCAAGGGACCAGATATCTGCCTGAGAGAGGAATGAGAAGAGTGACTTCAGAGGAGCGAGAAGTGTCATGCTATGCACTTGGCGGCTAGCAGAAGGTGCATGCAACATTCACTTCACTGAAGGGACCAGCATCACCTGAGGTCTATGGGGTATTTAGTCTCTACGGTCATTTAGTCACAGGCTTCCCCAGCAGATCCCAATCCCTCATATGATGAGCCCACTCTCTTGAGGCGCCAATCTTTATGTTCATCCTAATGTTAACATAAGCATGTAGTATTACCTAAGTAATGCAGCAATAAAGTGTAAGAGCCCTTCTTCTACCCCACCAACTCACCTTAAAGTCATAGGCAGACTGTTTGATCACCTCTGGTGCCATCCAGAAGGGAGTCCCAACAAACGTATTTCTCTTGATCTGGGTGTCCGTCAGCTGTCCAGCCACACCAAAGTCAGCCAGTTTCACATCCCCTTGTTCCGATAGCAGCACGTTGGCAGCTGTTCACACAAACAAGAGTAAGTCAAATGGTTCCTGAAACTCCTGTAATCAACAGGGAATCTAGTGGCTCAGGTTTTTGAGAGAACACTCCAGCTTTGATTTCCAGATTCAGTATCTCAAGCAACTCGAAGCAGGTTCATGCATTCAGGGGAAGAAGGGGAACATTTATCTGGCAGCTCCATGACTAGTTTTGAAGGAATTTCTGGAGGCTGAAGGAGGTCCTACAGCACAGAGCCTCACGAAGAGTCACTGGAGACCCATCTTGAGACATCCTGAAAGGGCCTGATTTTCAGTGGGTGGGTGCACAGCACTGGTTGGATATTAAGCCCATCTCAAGTTGGGCCCCCAAACGTCACCAGCTACTGTGGGCAGTCCTGGCCTTAGAACTTATATTACTTCCACTCACTCAGTTCATCTAGGGAGTGTCACTCAGGATTCTGGGACGTCTCTTTCCAAAAGAGACCCTGTATGTTCGTTTGGTATGCAAGTAGTATGAGAAAGCTCACATCTCTGCTGTCCCCCTCTGCAGCTGCTCTGTAGAAAGGACACACCAGGTGCCAGTAATAGCAACCTAGACATCTTGTGTACCAACATAGTTAGAAGGCGTACACACAGTGACACAATCACCTCAGTATCTTTGTCAAACTTCCCCTGTGCATGAAACACCTTCCCAGAACTGGCTCCCCAAGTCACTATTTTCCTCATTCATGTCCCTTCCCACAACTTGCAAGTAGGTCAGTTCTTTTAATATTCAATGCTCTCACCCTCTCTGCACAGTCAGATACTCTTATTGAGATCACCATATCCCTCCTGCCCCATGCCCCCACGACTGTTTGGGGAGGAATAGCTCAGTTTGGGGAGGGATAGCTCAGTGGGGGGAGCATTGGCCTGCTAAACCCAGGGTTGTGAGTTCAATCCTTGAGGGTGCCACTTAGGGATCTGGGGCAAAATCAGTACTTGGTCCTGTTAGTGAAGGCAGGGGGCTGGACTCGATGACCTTTCAGGGTCCCTTCCAGTTCTATGAGATAGGTATAGCTCCATATATTTAATCTCAAGCATGATGCAATGGAAGGAAGTAGTCCAGCTAAGCTTTTTGGGGCAGGGACCTTGTCTCTGTACTGCATGGTGTCTAGTACACTTGGATGCTGTAAGATGAGAAGCAGGAGAAAATAATGGCAGCAGCCCTTCTGTTTCTAGCATTGTTGTGCTCTTGTCATGCAGGCTTCAGAGCTCTCAGTGGGGCAGCTCCAGTCACACATTCTGAAAAACTTTCCAGCCACAACAGAGCCACAGACAAGTTGTGTCCATAATGATCAGCGCTCAGACTACTCAGGGTCTTACATACAGAAACAGAAGTTCCAACACTAACCAACAATAGTCAGCAGGCAGTTGAGCAATTCTGCTAACTCACCTCTCTCTGGCAACTCATCTCCCCTTGTTCCATGTCCTCACCCAAACCACAGGTGCCAGACTGGTGCTGCTGACACTCCACCCTACCCCAAGTCCTAGATATAGGCAGCAACTCATCCTCATCTGCAAGAATATGAGGTTTATGATCTCAGGAACAAACTACTGATAACAAATGTAGTGGATTACAAAGCAATTCTGGTTGCACCCTCAGTTTGCTTCTCTAGGTTTATCTAAGGGCTGGTGGGATCATCACTCATAAGCAAAGGGGCTATGTTCTCCAAGCCTGACCTTTGATGTCCCTGTGGATCTTCCTCTCAGAGTGCAGGTAATCTAAGCCCTTGAGGATTTCCCGCAGGATAGTGGCAATGTAGGTCTCTTCCAAGGGTCCTGGCTTTAACTAAACATGGAAGAAAAGTGGGGAGAGGAGTGAATGAGAGCGAATTTGGAAGGAAGAAAGGAAGGAACATAGGCATTAAATAGAAGCGAAGAGGTGAGAGAATGACAGAGGGAAAAATAAGTAGGAGGAGGAGGACCAGCGAGGGGAGATGATCTGAAATTTCCTTCACAACTTTTATGACAGACATTTACGCACCACTAGAGTGATTCCTAACAGGTTCCACATTTCCTGACCTCAGTTTGTAATACAAAATCTCCTCCATAGCAGTGTCAGACACCTGCTGGCAGACATGCCAATCAGGAAGTCTACTGCTGTGTTTTATACCCCACACACACACCCCAATCAAATACAAGAACCAAAACCAAGGTTTGCCACACTCGTCTGCTTTAGGCTGGGAATACATTACACACATAGAAATATACAGATCCAGACTGTCCAAGGCTCTGGGCACATGCATGCAAGCGGGCAGCATTTCAGCTGGTGCAACAGCAAGAAAGGCGCTTCTGACTATCTGGAGACAAGGTGAGATGATAAGACCCCATCCTAGCTGAGTATCAGAGGGGTAGCCGTGTTAGTCTGCATCTGTAAAAAGCAACAGAGAGTCCTGTGGCACCTTTAACACTAACAGATGCATTGGAGCATCCGACGAAGTGGGCATTCACCCACGAAAGCTTATGCTCCAATACATCTGTTAGTCTTAAAGGTGCCACAGGACTCTCTGTTCCATCCTAGCTGAGTTCTCAGCCTTTCCAGTGTAGTAACTGAGGCCCTGACCCTGCAATGAACTCTGTGCAAATGCCCCCCTGAAGTCAGTGGGGTCCAACAGCATTGTTCTCATTGCAGGCTCGGCATCAGTTATCGCACTGGAAAGGCTGAGAACTCAAAGAATTCTCTGTTAAGGTGAGTGTCACAGTGTGACTGTTCCTTTAAGAGGGAGCATGGTCCAGTGCACCTCTGTCTGAATAGCTGCTGCCCAATTGGTTTAAGAGAAGGCAACTGGGCTTTACAAAGAGGCAAACAGGATGTGCTCGGGGGAAGACAGAGTGAAGATGCAAAGACTTAGAAGGCTCCTGGAAGCTGCAATAGAGTCTTAATATTTCAGGGCTATCCACTGCCCTCTCTCAACCCAGGCAGGAAGGAGAGAAGCCTGAAAAGCTCTGTAAGACACAGTCAGAGAGCAGACTCCAGAGGACAACAAGATTCCACCTAGGTAGGGCTGAGAAGGAAGTTGTGTCCGTGAGAACTTTATTTTGATTGGCACAGTTTATGATAATAAACCAGGGTATTAATGGAACTCCTGTATGGAGTTTGTAAGGAGTTCAAGAAAGGAAATTAAGGCAGAGTATGGTTGAGCCACACTTGCCCAGACAGGGGTCAGGCATGCCTTTTTACATAGAACAACAAGCTTTGACACTGGAATTCATCACCCCACCCACTCTTCACAGACAGATAGGCCAGGAACACCCCAAAGATTAGATTCATTCTATTTAATCAATTGTGTATCACAGCTGGTATATAAACATCTGTTAAGTGTGACTGAGGACTGCCTGTGGAGTGTTTGAATCAGCCCATTTTAGTTAGGGCACACTAAAGGAGTTACCAACACATGCAAGAAAAATGAGTTATCCCAGTCCTTCCATTGTCCCACTTATACGTGCATTAAATCAATGGAGGTGCAGGAGTGTGACACAGCAAAGTTGAGACCCATGTGTGTTCTGCATCTCTATTCTTTAGCATCTGGTGTAGCATGAATATAGTGTCATTCAAACAGGACAAGACACCACTGATTGTAGGTGACAGGTTATCTCAGGAATAGAGTAGCAGGGTGTGTTGTACAATGGTGCTTAGATAGGCGGGTACAGACTTCCCAGAGAGTCACAGAGCAAATGATTTCTCCATCCTGGCATAAAACAGGCTTTGTAGCCAGCATGCCTGCTCTGCGTTGTCTACTCCTTGGGCAAATGGCTCTGAATAAGGCTTAGTGGGGCTAATAAACACCAATTTTATGGTTGTTTCACAAACTAAGGTTCCATCCTCTGTTTGTGGACCACATGTGTCCATGTGTTAATAGATTAGGACTGACCAAGCTACTTACCAAATCCAGTGCTGAGCCTCCACCCAAGTACTCCATGATTATCCACAGCTTGGTACTCTGCAAGTGAGGCAGGAAAACATGTTTGGGTGAGCACTGGGCAGTGTGTTAAGATTAAAACAAAAATCAAACCTCAATCAGGCCCTGCCCCACCAGCCATGAAACTCATGCACAGCTCTTCACTCAGTAGACCAAACAGGCACTCAACCTCCACTGCCAGACTAGGACCAAGCAAGGCGAGCTTCCATTCATCCCTCACTGACACAGTACTGCTTCACGGAAATTAGACCCTGGGAGGGATCCCACCACGCACTTCCCTTCCAATCTTTATTTTTTTCTACGTGAATTTAGTGCTCAGTCTGGCATCTTGGAGACAGAAATCTATTCACAGGCAGCGACTATGCAATCTTCCCCATGTGCCTCTATCGACATATCTCCAGCTGGTCCTAGAAACAACCCCTCTAAGGGAGGGAGGGTAGTTTTTCAGTTGTTGGCCTCAGTAATGAGACTGCTAACAGGGACGGTGGTTGAGCAGCATCCACAGTTTTTCACTAGACTATCAACTCATCTTAGATACGTCTCCAAACAGCCACTAGATAGCACTAATGGCAGCTGAGATAAAAAGCTCCTGACCCATTATTGCTCCCCCAACAGACCTAGTCTCCTACTCACCCCAACATTGTTTCCAAGTGTTACACTTGGTCTATTTCATTGTTCCCTCAATCTCCCCGTCCTCGTGCACCTTTGTTTCACTGACTTGTTGTATTCTGTGCAACCCCTAGTGTGGGAGCTCTCTGGGGTAGGGAGTGTTTTCTCCGTCATGTCTGTACAGTGTCTAGCACAACAGGGCCCTGATCCTTAACAGTTCTTAGATGCTACCATCATATACATCAATAGTAATAGCAATACCTCGCTGTTCATCCCTTGCAGTATTACAGACTGGTTTAAGTGAGAAGCTGAGTGAGTCTGGCAGCCTCAAACCATTTAAACACCCAATCCTACTGGCAGCGTTCAGTGCGATTGACAGCCTTTGTTCAGACAGACCAAGGTAATTGGTAGGTGTGCTGAGACCAGGGCTGGGCTGCCACTTCACACTGCCATGCAGGGGATTCATGCAGAGAAGAGTGGAGGCAGCCTGGGCTCCACTAGAAGTGGTGCTTTCTGAGACTGCCACGGTAGCCTCTACAAGGAACCCCGAGTTAGGGTCTCAAACCCTGAGAATAACCTGGTTCTGCGCAACTCAGTATTCCTGAAGGTGCCTGTTGCTGTGTTATGAGCAACTCCCAGAAGGAAGGGAGTGGGGTTGGAAAAAAGATGGAGCACAGACTATCACGGAGCTGTAAAATCAAAGTCTCAGGCCTTCTGCTTGCTAAACACTGATACACAATGCCAGGGGCAAACCAGAGAGGAAAGCCAGACAGCACTTTATGAGTGTAAAGGCAACCGTCCTGCCCAGCCCCTGAGCTCCCGGCCAGGGAGCCTAGTCCCCAGCCCCTCCCCCGCTGTCCCCCATCCCCCGCATCCACACGGCCCGCGCTCTGGCCCGCCGCTCCCGCTGGGCAGGGTGGGGAGCACAGCTGGCTCTGGCCGGGTGTTGCGGCTGCGAGCTCCTGCTGCTGGTAAGGGGGCGGGGAGCGGAGGGGTTGGTTAAGGAAGCGGGAGGTCTTGGGGGGCAGTCAGGGAGGAGAGGGCGGTTGGATGCAGTGGAGGTTCGGGGGGGGGCGGTCAGGGGATGGGGAACAGCGAGGGTTGGGAGTGGGAGTCCCAGGAGGCTTGTCAGGGGGAGGGGATGTGAACAGGGTTCGGGAGGGCAGTCAGGGGACAGGGAGCAGGGGGGGGTTGGATAAGGGGGTGGGATCCCGGGGGGCTGTCAGGTGGCGCGGGTGTGGATAGGGGTCGGGGCAGTCAGGGAGCACGGGGGTTGGATAGGGGGCGGGGGTCCCAGGAGGGGCGGTCAGGGGACAAGGAGCAGGAGGGGTTGGATGGGTGTTCTGAGGGGGGCAGTCAGGGGGCAGGAAGTGGGAGCGGGAAGATAGGGGGAGGGGGCCAGGCTGTTTGGGGAGGCACAGCCTTCCCTACCCAGCCCTCCATACAGTTGCGCAACCCCGATGTGGCCCTCGGGCCAAAAAGTTTGCCCACCCCTGGTCTAGGAGAAGGTGGGTGGGGGCTGTGTGGGAGCTACCTCCTTTATAGGAAATCTATTTGGGGGCCTCTCTCTTTGATGGAGCATTCTCGTTCTAGCAGAGACCCCACTTCTTTGGGTGAATTGTGTATATGGAGATCACTACAGTGTGTTCTGCAACAGCCAAGATCCACAATAGGGCTGGTAAACGCAATGGAAATTGCCATTACACCCTTGCTGCAGTTACGATGTTCTTTGCTGACAGTGCAGCCCACTGCTGGACACCCATCCTGCAGCTGTTAGTCACAAGCCCCAGCCTGCTTCCTGCAGTTCTAGGATACCATCCCCATCCATAGACTTATGAGCTAGAGTACTAGGGAGGCTCTCTCCCGTGGCAGCTTTGACTACCTTCAGATAGGACCCATAGTAGCGGGTTATGTAGGGGCTGTCACACTGACTGAGCACAGTGATCTCCTGTTGGATGTCCTCAATTTCATCCTCCGCCTCCTCCAGGTCAATTATCTTAATGGCAACCACTTCCTTGGTGCGGTTGTCGATTCCTTTGTACACCTCGCCAAACGAGCCTTTACCAATCCTCTCCAGCTTGGTGAACAGCTCTTCTGGGTCCACCCTGGAGTGCTAACCGGAAGACAGAGACAAGGTGAAAGGGTCAAACCATAAGCCACCCACAGGACACTCTATTCTAAAACAGGGTCATTGTCACCACACTGACTCCCACTACACTTCTTTGAGAGAGCTCATCTTCATTGTAAAGCATCCTCAAGGTCCATAATAGACCTCCAGATATATGACAGGAGATCTTCCCGCACACAGGCTTACCATGGTACCACTCCATGCCAAGGTGAAATGAAGAACGATCTTAGACCAGTGGTCCCCAAACTGTGGGGCACGCCCCCTAGAGGGCGTGGGGAACGTTCCGGGGGTATGTGGCGGGGCCCAGCCAGTCCCAGGGGCAGGGAGGGAGTGCCACCCAGACCCTCTCTGCCCCAGCCCCACCCGCAGCTGTGGCCCCAGCTCCCAGCCCACACCCAGCCTTGGCCCCCCGACCGCAGCCCAGCTGCGGCTCTACACCTGGCCGCAGCCCCAGCTACTGGCCCCCACTGTGGCCCAGCCGCGGTTCCACTCCCAGCCCCGCCCCCAGTCTCGGCTCTGCCCCCAGCCTGGGCCCCTGGCCAGGGCTCCGCTCCGAGCCTGGCCCCACACCGTGGCCCCAGCCTTGGCCCCCCTTACACCTGTCCACACCCAAGCCACAGCCCCGCTCCCAGTCCCCAGGTAAGCATGGACAAGGACGGGGGGGGGGGGCGCAACCCTAAAAGTTTGGGGACCGCTACCTTATCCCTCCAAGTGCATAGAAATGGGTCTCTGAAAAAACTGTCAGCTCTTTGGGCGAGGGATTGCGTATCGCAAAGGACCTCTGTACAGTGCCTAGGACAATGGGGCCCTGACCTGACTGGCTTCTAGGTAGTACTAGAATAGAAGTGTTTCATAACAGTGAGATTGTTTGCTGTATGCGTATAGAAATGTAGACCCTGGAATGTCAGATCCAGCCTTCTGTTCCTACAGCCTAGTAAGCATGTGGTAACTGAGTCGAATAGTATCCCAAGACCAGGGCAAATAGAAATCCAGTGGGATATCCCCCCACCCCAAGTCTGCAGTGGTTTTTGCAGGGAGATTAAGAAAGAGAGGAATGTTTTATCTCGCTTTTGCCCCTGTATTTTACTATCAGATTTCACCATAACACAAGGGCAGCTGCTCAGAAATACTGATTACACCACCCCAGTGGAGTGCACCATTCTTTAGCTGTTGGCAAGGTAAGCGCCACTCCGTTCTGAAGGACAGCAGCAAGGATCCCAGATACCTGAATACATCAAAAGAGACAAAATAGCTGATCTACTGCTGAGTGTTTCTTCTGGAACAGCCTTTCAAATGAATGGCATGTCCAGATGTGACAAATACATTCAGCCTCATTAGATAAGCACATTAACTGGGATGCTTCTAATGTGATGATCCACAGAGTAATATTGGCATTTAAATGGTCATAATTGGGCCTCAGAGTTAATACTTCATTACTATGAATGTGGGTGGGTGGGAAGTCTGCATCACTCTTTGATGCCATTTCATTCAGCCCAGCTGCAGACTCAGAAGTATTGCATTGCTTTGCAGTGGTAAAAGGCTCTTTGTGATCAGAAGGGCTTTCTTAAAGACAAGTCTAGGTTCTGGAAAATCCTGTGTGACTTGTGGGAAATAACCAAGCAATTACAATGTATGGGTTTCCACACCCATGGCTTCTCAGAACAAGCACATGATACATACTCACCTACAAACACGTCAATGAGGGACCACTCCCTAGCTAAACCTTGAATTCAACTGAAATTTTATCTGAGGTCAGGACAGCTGCATTTTCCCATTTCCTCACTGGGTTCTTGCAGCTGGTCCTCAATGAGTGCCTCAGTTGATGTTTAATAATTAAACCAACTGGGCATATTAAGAAGCCTTTGGACCAGGCACAGCAGGTAAACAACCCTTCCCAACAATATTACATCTGCACACAGGGCAATAGAGGCCTAGACAAGGGCAACCAGCACACTCAGCTAGCTGAACAGGATTTTAATATGCCAAAAATCCTCATGCATCCATGGCAACACCCAAACAGTGCTACACTTTCAATAAATATATGCTGGAAATGGAGAAAGAGAGGAAGTGAAACACTGAGCAGTAGAGATGAAAGGAACTAGAGATACAAGCAAGGACTGGAGCGTGGGGTGGAGGAAGGAAGATGATCTAAGCTAGAGAACATGGGTGATAGGATAGCATGGCCACAGTCTTGATGAATGGCCAGATGTGCTGTCTGCAACCACTGCACCTGCAGGATTCAGCTTACCCTTGCACCAGGAGGGATGGAGCAGACTATTAAGGATACTCGGTTCAGAAAGGGAAGGGAAGTACTATCCACATGACCCCCTGTGTAAACAGACACACCCAGGCCCTCCTGTCTGAAGAGTGATCAGCATTCACAGAGGGAGAGGGCAACATCCATATTGAACACTGCACCTTGAAAGAAAGAACACTAGATAGGGAAGGGGGGGTGGGGGGGGGGGGAACCTGCAACTAACATGCAGTTGGCTGCCCTCATATTGCTCACTCTGCTGGTGTTTTCTACCCCTTCCCCATCCTGTGTCTGTCTGGCTGTTAGCTCATCAGGGCAGGGACCATCTACTACATGTTGTTCAGTACCTAGAACAACGGAGTCCCATTTTTGGTTGGCCCTTATGCAAATGATTAATAGTCATTAATGAAGTGAAACTGGAGCAGCCATTGCAGAAGGTTGTTTGGGGACTGACAAGGGTATGTTGTGGGCTCAGCAATCTGATCCAGATCTCAGTCTCATTGCTAACAGCACAGGGGAGCGATATTTAGTTCTGGTTTTGTCTTGTGTTTCATGAGCACTGCAGAGACTGAAGTGGGCAGCAGGGGGCTAAGCTTCTGTAACAAACACAACACAGTTTAGAGTATTGCTGTATTGGCAAAAGGTGTTGGGGAGACTGCACAACTCCTGTAGGCAGGAATTGTGTCCCATCAAATTACACTAAAGTCAGCACCTAGAATGGGAAACTCCAAAGTTCCCAGCTGCTTAAATGCAGACCCGAGAACCACTCATACTTGTGGCAGACTACCCTTTGCCCAGGTCTGGGAGTGGCACATGCCTGCCTCAAGCCTTCTTTGTTTGAGGAGAGGACGACCAAATGAGACCACCAGGAGCTGATGAAAAGTTTCTCACATGTATTTCTGAACAAGTCAGTACAAGTCCCGCAGCTGCAGCAAAGCCATGACCTAGTGAGTTTCTCTGCCAATGAGTGAAAATGCAAAGGCCCAATCCAGCAGTTACTCTGGACACTGACCTCCCACTGGAAACCAGGAGAGTTTGGCGTGCAGACTGAATGCAGGAGCAGATCGCTCATGCCTTCACCCTACCTATCCAGAACAGAAACAGGAATAACATTTTGACCGATTCAGTCACAGAGATCCCCTTGGGACTGTCACCTGACATGTTGGAATTACCTCTGAGCCCGTTTTCCCTGCCAGCTTGGGACTCCAGAACCCTGCCTTGTTGAGCCAGACATGCTAGCCAGCCGCAACACAGACCCAGGTCTGGTCCACGCCCCCAAAGCTGCAGACTTTAACCAAAAACTGCTCAGCAGGTCACCTATCACCCAACATATCCCAATGGGATCCAAACCCCAAATAAATCCGTTTTACTCTGTATAAAGCTTATACAGGGTAAACTCATAAACTGTTCGCCCTCTATAATACTGATAGAGAGATATGCACAGCTGTTTGCTCCCCCAGGTATTAATCACTTACTCTGGGTTTACTAATGAACAAAAGTGATTTTATTAAGTATAAAAAAGTAGGATTTAAGTGGTTTCAAGTAATAACCGACAGAACAAAGTAAGTCACCAAGCAAAATAAAGCAAAAACACGCAAGTCTGAGCCTAATACATTAAGAAACTGAATACAGGTAAATCTCACCCTCAGAGATGTTCCAATAAGTTTCTTTCACAGACTAGACTCCTTCCTAGGCTGGGCCCAATCCTTTCCCTGGTACAGTCCTTGTTAGTTCCAGCAGGCATCTTAGGTGAAAAGCAGGGGCTCTCTCATGACTGGGACCATCCTTTGTTCTTTTCCACCCACTTTCATAGCTTTGGCACAAGGCGGGAATCTTTTGTCTCTCTGGATTCCCACCCCTCCTTCTAAATGGAAGAGCACCAGGTTTAAGATGGATTCCACCATTCTTCCTGGGCTGGCTCACAGGAACACAGGAAGGCTTGCAAGTAAACAGAGCCATTTACAACCAATTGTCCTAGTCAATGGGAGCCATCAAGATTCTTAACCATCATCAATGGCCCACACTTTGCATAATTACAATAGGCCCTCAGAGTTATATTTTATATTTCTAGTTTTAGATACAAGAGTGGTACATTTATACAAATAGGATGAACACACTCGGTAGATTATAACCTTTGTAATGATACCTTACAAGAGACCTTTTGCATAAAGTATATTCCAGTTACATCATATTTACCCTTGTAAGTATATTTCCATAAAACATTATGGAGTGCAACGTCACAAACATAACTTAAGTACTGATAGCTCAGACATATCAATTCTGAGATAAGCTAATACTACCCAGTAGGAAAGCTCTACTGATGTGCAGCTACTGCTACCTCACAACATATGACAGGAACAGTAAGACTCCATGCTCAGATTGCCTACAACAGAATTCTGTCCAGCCTATGGCACAGTAACATAAGTGAAACTCAGCGAGATTACACCAGGTTCATGAAATATCTCTTCAGATGTCCCCTGTGTAATACTGTTCCATGTCTGTACAGCGCCTAACACAACGGGATCCTGGTCCATGATCAGCAACAAGTAATAGTGAGAGAGAAAAACCCTATTTGAAATGCCACATTACAACTTGCTGAGCCTTTGCACAGATGGTCTAGTTGGCTTGCAGGCAAGCTTCATGCACATGCTCACACAGTGCTAAGGTGAAGTGGAGAAAAATCTCATCACCACCATTTTGAATGCCAATTGGTCTATATGCTGTTCTCAATGCTAAGAAATGAACTGTCCCATGCTTCACGCAGAGAGCAGCCACACACAGGTCAGTCTAACTTAACTATGGTGCATTCCAAGAGCCCACCTGGAATCCTTCACCACAAGGCAACACAATCGAAGTGAGCAAAGACAATTCAAATATAAACTCCTTGGCACCCATCAAGGCCTGCAGTTGCCAACCACATTGAAATCTGGGATGGAGGGAGACAATGCTCTATGCGATTCTGCTGGGGGAAAGGGGAGAGAAAGAACATTCCAACCTGACTGCTTGAGATAGGGGAGCACATTCCACTCAGATCTCAAGGGGGAGGAGGATAATTATATCATGGCAGCTCAGGGCAAAGAACAATTTATTGTGCCAGTTGGAGGGTGGGGGAGAAAGGCACTTTGTCGTGACAGCTGTGGAAGAACTTTCCATCGTGACTGAAGTAGGTACGTTTTAAACAAAGCAAATCACTGCAGACGTCAGGAATTAAGAAAAGTGGCATTTTAAGAGCCAACTTGGCAGCAATCCCAAGCATTTCACTGTGAGAAACCCAGGCTTGGCAGCTCTATTGGGTCTTGCTGCTGAGGACAGAAGTTGTAGATGTGACACCTTTAAGCTCTGGGAGTGGGCTAGAGAAGGGAACGACCCCACTTTGAACAGGCTCTAAGTACAGATGAGCATATTTGGCAGACACCGAAGCCAGCACTTTTCATATCCAACCAAGAGCCTCATACCAGACCAAGCCCTGCTTTGCTGCAGTTCACCTGGCCCTCTAAACAGAGCTGCCTACAGCATCACCTGCTGGAGTCATGCCGCAGGCTGATGTGAAGGGACCCAAAGGTTATATACAATGAGAGAAGTCAGGGTTCTCAATCTGGGGCAGACGCATATACAGGAGTTGAGGGGGCACAGCATCTCTGCCCTTTCCACGTTTCTATCCTGGGCCCTCTTCCCATTTAGCAAACAATGAGAATCACTGATTTAAGCCAGGAGTTAAGACTTCATCTATGCCACAACAATTTAGAAAGTAAACACTGCTGGTGCCACACCCTACAGCACAAGGACTAGTGGTTGCAGAACTCCAGTCTCCCCAGAGATTAACACCAGTGTATTGTACTTGTGTACAGTCCTTGGACTCAGGTACTCTCTAACCATGAAGGCAAATATTCAGAGTTTCCTCCTCCAGCTGTGACATAGAGAATCAAGTTTAAGGGAGGTTTCAGAGTAGCAGCCGTGTTAGTCTGTATCCGCAAAAAGAACAGGAGTACTTGTGGCACCTTAGAGACTAACAAATTTATTAGAGCATAGATGCATCCGAAGAAGTGGGTTGTAGCCCACGAAAGCTTATGCTCTAATAAGTTTAAGGGAGTGCAGCAATACCTTGCGTAACGTATCAACCTTTCAGTTCTCTAATGGAAATCAGTACTTTTGCAGCAGACCAGAGGTATTGTACGTGGAGATGTTTGAAAGCCACTTGTCAGTATCACTTTAGTGCAATTTTTCTGTAGCCTGCTGATTCACAGAGGGAGGGTCTCACTGATTTCTACAGTCCAGCTAAATAGGGCAATTCCTATGACAAAAATACTTTGCATTTTTATAATCTTCTATCCAAGTGCTTTCCAGACACTAGTTCTCATAACAACTATCAGATAGTGACCTATTACTGAGGCACAATCTCTTAAGACTTTTACAAGGTCACACAGGAAGCCTGCAGCAGAAGTGGGAGTAAACCCAATCTGAGCTTCAGCCACAAGTTATTACTTGCATTACAATAGGGCCTGGAGGCCCCACCAGAGACTGGGGCCCATTATGGTGAGTCCTGTACAAATTCAGTGAGTGTCCTCCCTTGAAGAGATTACAATCTAAATAGACAGGACAGACAATGGACAGGAGGGGACAGAGGCACAGAGATGGGAGTTGACTTGTTCAGCATCACATAGCAGGTCAGAGACAGACCTGGGAATAGAACCTGAGTCCCAACTCAGTGCCCTATTTGCTGGACCACCCTGCCTCTCTCAAGTCTATCCTTAGTCTTCAGTCAGCTCATGACATCAACAAGCCAATCTCTGAACATGGGTGGACATTCTTTACTTGACAGATTCTTCCTGGCCCTCTACAGACGTATGTACAGCATTGGTTCTCAGTCTGGGGCTAGTGAGCAGCTCTGGGGATTGCTTTCTTGATGGCTAGGTGGAAAGGGGGTCCCGAACACTCTTTAATTTGTTAAGCACTGGAACAAATTGCCTAGGGAGATTGTAGAATCTCTGTCACTGGTGGTTTTAAAGAACAGGTCAGACACACACCTACCAGTAATGGTTTAGTTATTCAATAGTCCTGTCTTGAGTTTATGGGACTGGACTTGATGACCTATTAACGTCCCTTCCAGTCCTACACTTCTACGATTCTGTTGTAACATGGGGTCATGGTATGGAAAAGGTTGAGAAACCCTGATGCAGACTATAATAATGAAAAGATTAGGCGCAATTTATACTGACAACTTTGCACCCAATATTCACTGATACAATCTTGCTGCAACTAAATCCAGCCAAACAACCCCACCAGTATCCCTTGCTATTCGTGATCCAAGTCAAAATTATTCTTCTTGCTTCTGATTAACTTCCTTCAGCCTTAATCCACTACCCCTTCATCTAGTGCAAGCTTCTTACATGTCCCTACACATTGATGCAGGAGCCTTCTCCTCCGTAGCGCCTGCATTTAACAGCCTCATCAATTCATCCACTGGATGCTTACATATACATATAAGACACATTTCACATAAGAACGGCCATACTGGGTCAGACAAATGGTCTAGCTAACCGATTATCCTGCCTTTAACAGTAGCCATTGCCAGGTACCTTCAAAGGGAATGAATAGAACAGGGCAATTTCAAGTGATCCATCCCCTGTTGTCCACTCCCAGCTACTGACAGTTAGAGGCTTAGGGACACTTAGAGCATGGGGTTGTGTCCCTGACCATCTTGGCTAAAAGCCATTGATGGATGTATCCTCCATGATTGTATCTAATTATTTTTTAACCAAATTATACTTTTGACCTTTAGAATATCCTCTGGCAATGAGTTCCGCAGGCTGGTGGTGTGTTGTGTGAAGAAGTATTTCCTTTTGTTGTTTTAAACTAGATGCCTATTAATTTTATTGGATAAATCCTGGTTCTTGTGTTATGTGAAGGGGTAAATAACACTTCCTTATTCACTTTCCACATCATTTATTATTTTATAGATCTCTCATATCCCCCCTTAGTCATCTCTTTTCTAAGCTGAATAGTCTCAGTCTTTTTAATCTCTCCTCATACAGAAGCTGTTCCATACCCTTTATCATTCTTGTTGCCTTCCTCTGTACCTTTTCCAATTCTAATATGTTTTTTGATTACTAGAACTGCATGCAGTATTTAAGGTGTGGGCATACCATGGATTGATAGAGCGGCATTATGATACTTTCTGTCTTATTATCAATCCTTTTTCTAATGATTCCTAATATTGTTAGCTTTTTTGACTGCCACTGTACATTGAGCGGATGTTTTCAGAGAGCTATCCATGACTCCAAGATCTCTTTAAGTGGTGACAGCTAATTTAGAACCCACCATTTTGTATGTATAATTTAGTGTCAAACAGGGCAGCCCCTCAACCATCTCCAAAGTTACAGGCTCCATCTACTTAGTACAGGATGCCCACTGTGGATGTTACTGATGTACATGCAGTCCATTATACTAGGAGGCAGTCATTCTATAACTCAGACTTTGTGTGTCTGTCCCATTTCTTATCCTGCTTCCCCTCAAATGCTGCGAGAAAAAAATACCCCCCACTTACCTAAGGAGGGCACAGTTATATTTAGGGAGGTACTGTATCTATGCCAGTCTCATGCTTCCTGCCTCCATGCTCTTGCAGTGTCAAAGTCTGATATCGTTGGGCAATATGACAGCAATCACTTGGATAAGAAGAGCACAGCTGAGAACACACTTAGGACATTTCGTCCTTGGTAAATAACGGTACAGTTCTTAAAAGATTTTTGCTTTGAGGATTTTTATAATGTTTCACAAACAAATTCTTATCACCTACCTGGTTAGCAAAATCCCTCAGGTGAGCCATGGCCCAAGGATGCTAAGACATCCACTTCTGTAAAACCGGGTGGCTGGGGTCCTGTAGCACAGGGATGCAGTAGTGCTATCTCAGCCACCAAACAGCTGTGATGGGCAAGAATACAGCTGCTATACTCAGAACTCCTGGAGTCTAGCTTACTCCCCAAAATGCTACCTCCTCCTTTATCCACTACTGCAGGGTGGTCTTCCCAACCCATTCCCAAAAGCATATCAGCACATCTCACATCAGCAAAACCACCATGGATGCTTCAAAGACACGAGAAACTTGGTTTCAACAGGCAGGAACAGTGTCAATGTCCTGAATGCCCCCTACCACCTCCACTTCCTATGCTGTTCTGCAAGAGCCCTGCACTGGCCCCCTCTCCCCAGTGCCCAGCCTTCCACCCTTCCCCTAACAGCCTGCCCAGCCTGGCCCCATCTCCCCAGTGCCCAGCTGGCCCCCTCCCCCTCACAGCCTGCCCCGACACCCCTCCTCTCTCCAGGGCCCAGCCTGCCTCCTTCCCCTCACAGACTGCCCCAACACCCCTCCCGCCTGCCCCCTTCCCCTCACAGCCTGCCCCGACACCCCTCCCCTCCCCAGCCTGCTCCCTTCCCCTCACACCCAGCCCCGACACCCCTCCCTCCTGCCCCCTTCCCCTCACACCCTGCCCCGACACCCCTCCTCTCCCCAGGGCCCACCCTGCCCCCTTCCCCTCACAGCCTGCCCCAACACCCCTCCCCAGCCTGCCCCCTTCCCCTCACACCCTGCCCCGACACCCCTCCCCTCCCAGGGGCCCAGCCTGCCCCCTTCCCCTCACACCCTGCCCCAACACCCCTCCTCTCCCCAGCCTGCCCCCTCCCCTCACAGCCTGCCCCGACACCCCTCCCCTCCCCAGGGCCCAGCCTGCCTCCTTCCCCTCACAGCCTGCCCCGACACCCCTCCTCTCCCCAGCCTGCCCCCTTCCCCCTTCCCCTCACACCCAGCCCCAACACCCCTCCCCTCCCCAGGGCCCAGCCTGCCCCCCGCCTTGCTCGTGCCCAGCGCCCTGCGGCCAGGCGGGGCTGCCCCAGCCCAGGCTGCCAGCAGCCCCACCTGGCAGCGGCCCAGGGCCCCGCGCTCAGCACCCCCCGCACAGGGACTCCATGGCGAGCTCTCGTCCCGCGCGCAGCCGGTTTCTATGGGAGCTGCCCCGGGACACCGAACTCAGCAGCAGCGTCGAGGGGGGGACGCAATAACACCGACGGGGCGGGCGCGCCGCACAGCCTCCTGGGACGTGTAGTTCCCTCTCGGCCGCCCGCCAGGGCGGAGTCAGGCTACGGACTGCAATACCCGGCAGGCAACGGGGAGCGATGGGCTAGGGACGGGAGAGAATGAAGGCTTCTGGGTCGTGTAGTTCGTTGGCTCTTCTGCTCGGCGACAGTGCAGCGGCCTCCGGGGGAAGCGAGGACTACAGCGACCAGCAGGCGGGGAGGCCTGCCCTTCTTGTTTCCCAGACTGAGTAATGCCCTCACACCTTGCCTGGTCCTAGAGGCAAAGGCAGACGCAGACACAGACGCACACAGCTGATTCCCTGGCCCTGGGGTTCCGCCTGTCCCTGACACCCTCCCTGGGGCCCTCACGGGGAGGAGGAGAAACTCCCCCCCAACTCCCCCCATGGGGCTCTTATAAGGGGGAGAGGGATAGCTCAGTGGTTTGAGCCTTGGCCTGCTAAACCCAGGGTTGTGAGTTCAATCCTTGAGGGGGCCATTTAAGGAACTGAGGTAAAAATCTATCTGGGGATTGGTCCTACTTTGAGCAGAGGGTTGGACTAGATGATCTTCTGAGGTCCCTTCCAACCCTGATATTCTATGATTTAACCCCCCCACCCCAAGGCACCTTTCCCTTAAACTAGAACCATACTGGATAAAGTGAAGTCCCTCAATACAAATCCCATCCAAGATGGAAAGAACAATTATGTTCACTGCCCTCTGGTTTAGCATCTTCTGTGGACCTCTCAGCTTTCCTGCTCTTCTGTCCTCATGTTTTCCCTCTCCTGGCTAGAAATTCATGCAGGCCCCAAAAGTGTAATTCAGGCAAAATTGGATTGGGGTTAGAAAGAGGACAGATAGGGATCATTAAGAGCAATAAAAAGTAGGTGCGGAGGAAAGCTGTGGAGGAGAGGAGCATGGAAGCCTGCTGACCCAAAACAAGAACGTGTTTGGGGAGAACAAACAGCTATACAGTTAGAGCATGAGGGAATGTCACCCAACCTGCTGCTCTGCCTGCTAACACCATCTCTGCCATGGAAGTTACTCATTGCTGTCCTTTGCCTTATTAAAAAAGTCAAATCTGGCACCTACAACAATTGCCTACACCCACGCTGCTTATTTGCTCACACTGGCCTTCGGTGGGTCCCCTTGTCATTTCACACACACACACTTATACTCCCTTGGGGGAGAGAGCTTCACTTTTTAAAGTGAGCAACCTGAGGGGAAAATGGGGCTTGAGCCTTGTTATTGCTTTATTATGATAGATAAGAAAAGCTTAAAATCCTTTCTTTCAGTGCTTCTTTAAGTGTGTGGGGTGTTTTTCCCCTGCTTGGTTTGTACTCTAGGAGCTCAGGTCCTATCAAGGATGGAAGACTTTATGATGACTGAGTGCTAGTGTAAATGATGATCCCCAGGGAAGAAAGAAAGACTTTTTCCGTGGAGAGGGAATTTTTTTTTTTAATCAGACTGTTTTAAAACACTTAGATGTTTAAAAAAACAAAACAAATAACTAATGACTAACACACATTTTGAATAAAGAAAGCCTTTGTTAAAGATTTAATAGTCTCACCATCCAAGGCAGGTGCTGAGAACTCACAGCAAAACATTATTTAGACATTTGAGTGCTCCTCCAACAAAGTCAGGGGCAGGAGATATCATATTTTAAATGCCTATTTTTAAGAATAAAGAACCACCATAGTAAAAGATCAGTCCTTTATACATCCTAAAGAACCAAACGGAGAGCAAAGATAGGAAGGAAGAAAGGAGAGCAGCAGAATACAGACCCTGGACTTCAGAAAAGCAGACTTTGACTCCCTCAGGGAACTGATGGGCAGGGTCCCCTGGGAGAATAACATGAGGGGGAAAGGAGTCCAGGAGAGCTGGCTGTATTTTAAAGAAGACTTACTGAGGTTGCAGGAACAAACCATCCCGATGTGTAGAAAGAATAGTAAATATGGCAGGCGACCAGCTTGGCTTAACAGTGAAATCCTTGCTGATCTTAAACACAAAAAAGAAGCTTACAAGAAGCGAAAGATTGGATAAATGACCAGGGAGTATAAAAATACTGCTCAGCTCATGTAGGAGTGAAATCAGGAAGGCCAAATCACATTTGGAGTTGTAGCTAGCAAGAGATGTTAAGAGTAACAAGAAGGGTTTCTTCAGGTATGTTAGCAACAAGAAGAAAGTCAAGGGAAGTGTGGGCCCCTTACTGAATGAAGGAGGCAACCTCGTGACAGAGGATGTGGAAAAAGCTAATGTACTCAATGCTTTTTTTTGCCTGTCTTCACGAACAAGGTCAGCTCCCAGACTGCTGCACTGGGCAGCACAGCATGGGGAGGAGGTGACCAGCCCTCTGTGGAGAAAGAAGTGGTTCAGGACTATTTCGAAAAGCTGGGTGAGCACAAGTCCATGGGGCCAGATGCGCTGCATCTGAGGGTGCTAAAGGAGTTGGCGGATGTGATTGCAGAGCCATTGGCCATTATCTTTGAAAACTCATGGCAATCGGGGGAGGTCCCGGATGACTGGAAAAAGGCTAATGTAGTGCCCATCTTTAAAAAAGGGAAGAAGGAGGATCCAGGGAACTACAGGCCAGGCAGCCTCACCTCAGTCCATGGAAAAATCATGGAGCAGGTCCTCAAGGAATCAATTCTGAAGCACTTAGAGGAGAGGAAAGTGATGAGGAACAGTCAGCATGGATTCACCAAGGGGAAGTCATGCCTGACTAACCTAATTGCCTTCTATGACGAGATAACTGGCTCTGTGGATGAGGGGGAAGCAGTGGATGTGTTATTCCTTGACTTTAGCAAAGCTTTTGATATGGTCTCCCACAGTATTCTTGCCAGCAAGTTAAAGAAGTATGGGCTGGATGAATGGACTATAAGGTGGATAGAAAGCTGGCTAGATCATCAGGCTCAACGGGTAGTGATCAATGGCTCCATGTCTAGTTGGCAGCCGGTATCAAGCGGAATGCCCCAAGGGTTGGTCCTGGGGCCGGTTTTGTTCAATATCTTCATTAATGACGTGGAGGATGGAGTGTATTGCAACCTCAGCAAGTTTGCAGATGACACTAAACTGGGAGGAGTGGTAGATACGCTGGAGGGTAGGGATCGGATACAGAGGGACCTAGACAAATTAGAGGATTGGGCCAAAAGAAATCTGATGAGGTTCAACAAGGACAAGTGCAGAGTCCTGCACTTAGGACAGAAGAATCCCATGCACTGCTACAGACTAGGGACCGAGTGGCTAGGCAGCCGTTCTGCAGAAAAGGACCTAGGGGTTACAGAGGATGAGAAGCTGGATATGAGTCAACCGTGTGCCCCTGTTGCCAAGAAGGCCAAAAAGCATTTTGGGCTGTATAAGTAGGGGCATTGCCAGCAGATCGAGGGACGTGATCATTCCCCTCTATTCAACATTGGTGAGGCCTCATCTAGAGTACTGTGTCCAGTTTTGGGCCACACACTACAAGAAGGATGTGGAAAAATTGGAAAGAGTCCAGCGGAGGGCAACAAAAATGATTAGGGGGCTGGAGCACATTACTTATTAGGAGAGGCTGAGGGAACTGGGATTGTTTAGTCTGCAGAAAAGAAGAATGAGGGGGGATTTGATAGCTGCTTTCAACTACCTGAAAGGGGGTTCCAAAGAGGATGGATCTAGACTGTTCTCAGTGGTACCAGATGACAGAACAAGGAGTAATGGTCTCAAGTTGCAGTGGGGGAGGTTTAGGTTGGATATTAGGAAAAACTTTTTCACTAGGAGGATGGTGAAGCACTGGAATGGCTTACCTAGGGAGGTGGTGGAATCTCCTTCCTTAGAGGTTTTTAAGGTCAGACTTGACAAAGCCCTGGCTGGGATGATTTAGTTGGGGATTGGTCCTGCTTTGAGCAGGGGGTTGGACTAGATGACCTCCTGAGGTCCCTTCCAACCCTGATATTCTATGAAACCCAGACAGCAGGTCAATTTAAAAAACTGCTTTGCAGGTCACCTTTAACACTTGACTTGAAATCTTTTCCAGCTAACAAACCATGGTTCGCTGGCACACGTACACTCTCACTGTTTCCTGCACTCATGGCTTTTTGCACAAGGCTGATCCTCTGATCCTTAATTCATTGCCTCTACTGTGCCC